TCTCTCTCTCTCTCTCTCTCTCTCTCTCTCTCTCTGTCTGTCTGGCGAGCGCACGCGCCCTATAGCAAAAACCTCTAAAAAACAAAAACCAACCAAACAAAACAAACCTGTGAGCTGCGAGGTCTCTCCTGCTCCCCCTACCCCAGCACCTTGAAGTCAAACACACGTACTTTTTTTTTAATTGGAAGGATTTTATTAGATGCAGATTGAGAGTGCTTAAAAATTCTGACTTACAATGTTTATTTAAATCCACTGATCTGTAAAACATGGCCAAACGTGCTCCCCTGCAAAGCCTTTAAGGGTGAGGACGGCTCCCACCTGCACCCGCAGTGCCTGTAAGGGGCGCGTCTCCTTACCCCGCGCGCTTCCTCCTCGGTAACCTCGGCTTCGACGCCGGCATCGTCATCGCTGAGCTGCCTTCCCGGCCGCCCTCTGCTGAGTCAGCGGCTTTGATCTCTCCTTTTCTCCTGCCCACAGGACCCGGATGTGATCAACACGGCTCTGCCGGTAGAATACGGTCCACTGATAGAAGAGGAAGAGAAGGTGCCCATGCGGCCCAAGGACCCGGAGGGCATCCCTCCTCTCCTGGTCTCTCCGCAGCAGGCCAAGCGGGAGGAGGAGCGCAAGGCGGCGCCCCCTCCGCTGCCGGCCCCGTGCTCGGGCAAAGCCGCGAAGAAGCCAAGCGGCGGTGTTCTCCGCCCGAGCCCCGCCGGGCCTGCCCGCCGAGGGGGGACACGTTAACATGGCGTTCTCGCAGTCCAACCCGCCGTCGGAGCTGCACAAGGTCCAGGGCTCCAGGAACAAGCCGACCAGCTTGTGGAACCCGACGTACGGCTCGTGGTTCACAGAGAAGCCCGCCAGCAAGGACCGTCCTCCCGCGAGGAAGGAGCACCGCGACCGCGGAGGCTGCCCCGTCCCGCCCAGCGCGGCCGCGGCGCCGGGGAGGCTGCCCGGGGCCTCCCTGCTCCTGGAGCCCTCCTCGCTGACTGCCTCCGTGAAGGAGGTGCCCCTGTTCAGGCTGCGTCACTTCCCTTGTGGCACTGTCAACTACGGCTACCAGCAGCAGGGCTTACCGCTGGAGGCCACCGCGGCCCCGGGGACTGGGCTCCACGAGGACTCCATTCTAAAAACCAAGAGCAGCGTCGGCCATGCTGGGCCCTGAGCCCACACCCGCTCTCCTCCCTGGGAGCCCCGAGCCCGCAGGAGCCAGAGGAGGCCGCACCCCGAGACCGACCGTCACGTTCCATGTCGTGCCAACTTGTTTTGAAGTGCCACATGAAAGCTGTGTTTTCCAAACGCTTTAGAAAGGTTTCGAGCATGGGTTCATCTTTTTCTTTCCGAAGAAGAAAGTATCATCCAACGAGTGACAAATACAAGGCCCCGACGTGGCTGCCAAGGGTTCTGTGCATGGATGTTGTGTACCTCCTTCCGCTTCCACTCTGTGCGCCCCCCAGCGTAGCCGGCTGCTTAGTGTCTCGTAGTTGCCGTCATAGTCTCCTTTCCCTGTCGGTGTGGACACGGCCCGTTTGAGGGGAGAGGGAGCAGAAATAAAGGAGTTTGTCAGGACTCGGCATGGGGAAACACATCCTTCACTTGGAAAAGAAAACTCACAGCCACTGACACGCCGCTGTAGGTGCCGATTAGAGGCTTGCGCTTGTGCTCGTTCCCCGCCGATTGTACAACATTGTGAATAGTTGCCGTCATACCGGAAAGTAGGTATATGCTCATCTACCCGAAAAACACACATTTCGAGTGCTTTGAGTTTGAGGAAACACCAGAGCAGATCCAGAGAGCTCCACATCCTATTAATATACCTCATGCCTTAAGAAAATCTTCCTGCTACAAGTGGAAAACTGAGTGTGAGGTTTCCTACTGGATTTAAAACTAAAGGTTTAAATTAAATGACACATTTTAAAACTTTCCACTAATTAAACTCTGGTCATTTCAAAACAGTCTAGGCAGCAGAGATACATCAAAGCATAGGAACATACCCACTTGTGGGCGCGCGGGTTGGTTGTCTTAGGCCAAGACCTCCTATCACCCTAAATCATGACGCCTGTACCCACGGACGTTCTCACAGGGTCAGCGGTGGCCGGACGCGGAGCCATGGGCCCTCAGGTGTCCTAAGGAGAGGGGTAGCAGTACCTGCCTTCCACTGATCACCTGAGCTTTTCCTCTCTCAATCTCATGACACGAGCATGTCGAGAACACGACTGTGCTGACGCCTAAGTAGCATCATGTGTAGAGCTGTCAAATGAGATTGTAAACAAAGAATGTTTCTGGGTCAGCCAGTGGCACGGTGGATAAGGCAGCTGGAGCTCACATAGCCACTGCACGGTTCAAGTCCCAGACCCAGCAGCTTGAGAAATTGTGCCAGGCATATATGTGTGTGTTGGCCCAAAATCCCAAAAAGAGCTGGACAGAGCAGGGGTTGCTGCATAGCCGTCCCCCATATGGTAATTTCTTCTCCCCACCTCCCATCTCTCTCTGGTGAGTGTACATTCTTACAAAATGTTTCTAAAACTTTAAAGAATGCTTCCTCTGGGTGGCCATGAGGAGAGGAATCGAGGAGCACTTGAGTTGAGGTTGACACTGACATGGCAGGAA